ATAGAGCTTTCCACAATCATTTACTAAAGAGCAATCAAAAGACAACAATGAGAGCACAAGAACACAAACATCTTTACACGTCTGGATACTGTGCTCTAAACTATACGGAGAGACAGAGAGCTAATGATAAGAACCACCAGATTATCACTAAGCAAAACCTACTTGCAGATGAAACTCATAAAAGGATCTATCATGCAAAACGGAAACTGCTCGTTAATAACGAACCCAAAGAGTTTAACATGATACAAGCAAACAATCACACTAAATAGAGCAATCTAATCACTGTGCCTGCGAACTCAGCCTTAGGCCTCAACTTCTTGACTAACTAATTCTACAAAAGATCTAATTTTAACATTCCACAACACAAAATTCAGTGCATCTTAACACAGTATCTTTCACTCTCAGCTCAATTTTCCTAAGACTAAGAACAAAACAGTTCCCATCACAACAAACTATTACTCTATTGCAATCTATAGAGAAGAAACTATAATAGAATAAAAACCATACCTTGAAAATCAAACCAACGATGGTTGTTCCAGTTTTCAAAAAAGAAGGAGCTTTAAGACCCTTTTGTGTAAGCATGTCATTTCTCTTACACAGATCGAAGCTAAACCCACCCTTTGGCGGAACATCTACGGCTGATTGCGACATTCTCTCAAATTGACCAGTCTACAATAACAAAAAAGTTAAGTAATTTAGCATCAAAAACGATTACCCAGAAGAATAAACTAGTTCTCCGAAATCGTCTGAAGCAATTTGAGATTAGGGTTGGATAATTAATTTCTTCAATATCAAAGAGACAGTAACAGGAAAACTAAGAATAAAAGTGAATCAAAACCCCTCGGATCGAGAACCTTAATGGCCGTAAAATCGAATCGAGCAAGAGAGACTTCAAGAAGAGAAGTGCGAGAGTGAAGAAGGAAGAGACCAAAAAAAAAACTCAGCTTAAGAAGAAGAGTAATTTTACCTTGATGAATTTTGCTTGAATCGGAAAATAGAAGCAGAGAAGAGAAGAAGAAGAGAGAGGTGAAGCAAAAGTACAAAGAAAGACGGAGAGTTTTCTTCTTCCCCAATTAACCTTTAGAGACACTATAACACTTAGGGGCATGTTGGTCTTTATACTATTAGAGACTGAACTTTTAGGTTTGAATGGGCTTTTTCTTCCTTGTTCATTGAGCCCAATAAGGATACAGCCCAAGTAATCGACGGTTTACAATAATGTCGCAAGATAAAAGATTTTAAGCGTTTCAGATCTGTTGAAGCCAAAAGATCCCTAATTTCTTCGAAGTAGATGTTACGATTAGGGTTTTCTCAAAGATTCGTCTCTGACGAACTTCAATTCGAGAAATTGGCGTACCCATACCACGTAGCTCTGGTCGCAACACAGTTTTGTTTGATGCAATATGCTGCCCGAAGGAGCGGATCTGACATTGAGATCTCAAAACTAAGCTTCCGTTGGGTGATGGGTATATTGGCTTCGATGATGGTGTCTCCTTATCTGATGGCTCACGTCTTCCGTGGCTACTACAAGGCCATTGGTTCTTCCTTTAGAGATTATGAAGAGATGGCTATGGTTATTGGTTTCTTATCGCTCATGTTCTTCTCTGTGAACTTGTTTGGATTCTGGGGATTTGTTTTTATTCCAGTTTCTCCTCCTATTCTCGCTTTGGTTGTGCAATTTGTGATCATGAAGCGAAGAAACGACATGAGGTTCTGAAGAGTGATTTGGTGGTGATCGGAGAAGAAGAAGCGTCGATTAGTGATTGATTAATTAGACTAAGTAAGTGTTAAAAGGCCTTTTTGGGATCGTTGGTAGTAGTAGCTTTTTCTTAATTAGTAAAACGTATCTGTTGTGAAAATTAGGTTAAGAAGTGAACAAGGCCCAACTAAGTGTGGGTTTTGGTTATTAGCAAAGCTCTAATTAAGTACAAGTACTATATAATAATGGTTGTGTTGTTGTAAGAAAACATTTAAGAAAAGTAACAAGTAAAGAACGTTAAGCGGCTAGAAACGAGTCTATCAACAATGAACATTCTCCAAAATCGTACTTCGGAATCATTCATTCATGATTATAGGTTCACTTAGTTAATTACAAATCTGATCAGATTAGGATTTAACAATTTAAACTTAAGATCATTTCTCAAAAAAATTTAGTGAAAATGTATGTGTTGAGAAAATTAAGGTTTGATCGATTGCTATTGTTACTCATACTGTTATTGTATAAGTGAAACCAAATCAGAAACAGAGTAATTCGTTTTAGTGAAAATGGGTACAAAGTATTAAAAAATATCATTTTGAGGCCAAGAAAATATGATAAGGATCTTGAACCTCCCAGTCCAAGCTCTATAGTCATCTCTTATCTTACAAGAGGAATAATCTGTTATAATAGTATTTGGTAAAATGTTGAGCATCAAAAAAAAAAAAATATATATATGTTGAGCATCTCCTCCTCTCTTTTTGCTCATCATCAGATGTCTCAAAAGAACAGTTTAATTTTTGTTTATTTGTTAATTTATAGAACAATCAGAAAGTTGATAAAGGATAGAAGCTGCTTCTCTTAAAACTTTGTGTTTGGCTAACTTTCTCTTTATTTATAATAATTTTATTTAGATTTGTAATTTCAAATAAATCAAATTTATATAATTTATAATAAACAAACTAATAATATGTAACTTTTTCTTCGATATTTTTCGGTAGATTTATTTCATTGTATGTTGCTTTATTACTAAATTCAGATTTTTTTGAACTATTGACTTATTTTCTTATTTATGTTGATTCCATTGACGTATTTTAAAACAGTCGATTTATGTTTTGGCTCGTTGATTTATAACATAGTCGGTTTTTTGAACTATTGACTTAATTTTTTTTGTTCATCAATTTATAATTTTTTCGGTGGACTTGTTTATTCAAGGTAGACTTACTTCATTCTACATGGACTAATTAATAAGGTCGAGTTTTGAACTGACGATTTATATTTCATTTGTCGACTAAATTTATTTTCTATCTAACTGTTTTAAAATTGTCGACTTATGTTTAGGTTGACTGATTTTTAAATTAGTCGGCTTTTAAAAAATTTTGACTTATTTTTCTTGATTGTTGATTTTATAAAAAAATTCGCCCACTTGTTTATTCTTGGTAGACTTATTTTATTTTACGTTGATTTATTAATAAGGTATAATTTTTGAACTGTCGACTTATGATTTATTTTAGTCGACTTAATTTTCATCTCTATCGACTTATATTAAAACCGTCGACTTATATTGAAACAGTCGAGTTGTCCTCGATCTTGGATCTCTCAAAATCTCGATACAAATCAATTAAACCGACATCTCTCATCGTCTTTGTTCACCATCTCTTTCATTAGCTATGTTCACCATCTCTCTCTCATTCATCATCTTTAATCATCTCTCATCATCACAGTTCATTGTTCATCCGCGAAAAACTTAATCATTTCTGTTTACGTTCACTGTTCATTGTATCTCTGTTCGTGAGTTACTGTTCATCATCTCTCTGTTTGCGGTTCACTGATCATCTTGCAAAAAAACACTAAAAATCTTTGTGGTAATCTTTTCAATCATCTTTGTCCCTCACACACAAATTGTTTTATGTGTTTCTTGTAGAAAACGATGGAAAAAGTGGTGAAATTTAATCTTTTATGCCCTAATAAGACGGTGGGTTTGTTGAAAGAAAAGGACCTGACAAACCTTAATAGGATAAAGAGGGGATGCTGCCTTGACAATTCTTCGATTCTGCCTTTAAAATAAATATGATTGTTTTAAGACATCTTTTCTTATTGAAGGAAGAGATATGAACGGCTTGGGAGAGGAATTATTTGGTGAATGGTCTCAACAAACTCTCACTGTAATCACCCTCTCTGAATGAAAGGAGGACACAATTGTGAAGGTGAGTTTTGATTTGTTTTATCTTTAACACCTTTCTTTCTATATTTATTTTGTTTCCTCTTTTTTGGAGGTAACCATGGTACATACTAATATTCACGAACTGAAGATGCACAACCTGAAAATATATAGCAAAAATATGGTCATCATAATTTCTTTATATCCACAATCAGAGATGAAAGATTAGAGTTTTAGCACGTCAATATACAAAAAGTAATGCAAAATCCTCAACTCAAAATTCACAATTCTATTAAGTTTTAGTTGTAATGTAAGTTTTTGGTTGAGAAACTCAAGCGAGAGACAACTCTCTAAATATATCTCGTTTCTCATCACCATTAAAACCAAAAAAAATATCTTGTCTCTCGCCATTGCCATCGCTATCGCCATGCACGTGATTATTTTTCTAAAGTATAAAAAAAGAACTATAAATATATCATTTATGGAAGATTGCCAATAGTATTCAATTAGGATTTTGATTTGATTTCGAGTTATCAATCACGTTAAGTTAGTGGTGTTAAATGGATACCATTTGAAGATTGTATATTTTAGAGAAATTATGCGAACTAAACACTTTTATCACAAATAATTTGCGAACTAGACACTTTTATCACAAATAATTTGTAAACTAGGTACTTTTTTTAGATATTAAAGGAATATGTATTTTTTATCTTTTCTCTCTGATAGAGATTTTAGTAATAGACCTATATACCCTGATGTTGTTTTGTTGTGTAAACTTGTTGAACATGTCTTTAACGTCTTCACTCGTTAGACATTCAACCTCTACGTGTGAATCATTGTTTGAATCAAGTATCTCAGCCTCATAATCTCTTAACCTAGCAAACTGATAATATATCGTACTCCTTCTCAATCCACTACAGTGCCTTCTTCCTCGCAGACTGACATTGTGGCCTAGTGACACTTGTTGGTGTCGGATCCCGCACCAGTAGACCGGGACCAACCAAAGATTGCCACGTAATTAGAGGGAAGGCCCACAGAGGATAAGGCCCATAAAGCCCATCGTTTACAGAGTACAATCGAAGTGGGCATCACCATAAAGAGAGCCCGAAGTGGTCATATTTCGGGATACAACTCGGGATCGAGGTCGAAGTCAAAACGGCTCAAAGTAACTTGGGCCAAAAGGCGAAGCCCATGAAGATCGGAATCAATTCAAATTCAAACGTTGAGCATTAAACTTGAAGACTAAAACGGACGTATTTAAGAGAGAATAATTGTGTTTAATTGAGAATTAAATGTCGTTTGTCAATATAAATAAGAGGGCTAATAGCCATGTAAGGATACGCAATTTTTCTAGCAAATACACTATAGTCATTCCTATTGCAATTCATAGCTTTTTTATCATATTTTTGTCCTCAAGAATAATCATTCCCACTAATTAAACAAATATTCAAGTGTGCGAATCCGACATCCACATTTTGGCGCCGTCTGTGGGGATCTAGAAGATTCTTGAGTTGTCAGATTTCTCTCATTTCCGAGATAAGCAGCAATGTCTGGAGCAAGCATCCCTGATTCGACAGTAGCCGAGGCTCTCAAGACCATGCAGCAAGCCATAACAGAAATGTCGCAGAAGTTCTCGGATGTGGAAAAAGCTGTGGACACGCTTAAAACAACCCAGGTATCTCTTGGTCAAAACATCAATACTATTCAATCTCGTGTTCGTTCTCTAGGTGCAGGAAGTACCGTGGGAGTCCGCAGAAGCATGTTCAGTACGCCAAACTCCCGTGTGCGAAGTGAGACCAACGAACAAACAACTTCTAACCCAACAATCCAACCGGATGTGGAAGAAGAGACGCAGCTCGGAGATGAAGATCAGCTTGTAGATCAGTATGATCAAGAGAGCTTCGATCAGCTCGAAACCATGAGGAAGGTTAGCCAGGAACTAAAAGAAATGAAGTCAAAGTTCCACCAGGCCACCAGTTCGGAGCCGGACATTAACCGAGTCATCGAGGAAGCTAGGCGAACTCCTTTCATTCCGCGAATTGCAAATTTGAGAATCAAGGATTCTCGAAAACTCAAACTGGATCCGTACAGTGGATTAGAAGACCCAAAAAGCTATCTCGCAGCTTTTCTGATTGCCGCTGGAAGAGTCGAATTGGATGAAGCTGATGAGGATGCAGGATACTGCAAACTCTTTTCGGAAAATCTTTGCGGTCAAGCACTAATGTGGTTCACTCAGCTGGAACCAGGCTCAATCAATAACTTCGACGAATTGTCGGCTGTTTTCCTGAAACAATATTCTATCCTCATGGATAAAAGCGTTTCGGATGCTGACCTCTGGAATCTAACACAAGGGCCAAATGAGTCACTTAGAACTTTCATCACCAAATTCAAGGGGGTGCTGTCAAAACTCCCAAGAATCTCGCAGCAGTCAGCTTTATCTGCCCTACGAAAAGGCTTATGGCATGACTCAAGGTTCAAAGAAGATCTGATACTTCACAAACCGGACACAATTCAAGACGCACTTTTCCGTGCAAATAACTGGATGGAAGTAGAAGACGAAAAAGAGAGTTTTGCGAAAAGGAACAAACAAGCAAAACCAGCGGTCACTTTCCCTACCAAAAAGTTTGAGCCCAGAGAGAACCAAGGACCTAAAAAATTCGGATCGCAACCCCTCAACAATACCGTCGGGAAACAATTTCAAGGAAAAGGAAGGTCGAACACTTGGGTCCGTGACGAAAGTTTGCATTGTGACATCCATAAGGTAACCGGACACTTAACCAAAGATTGTAGTGTCCTCAAAAAGCACCTCGCAGAGCTATGGGCCAGTGGAGATCTTTCTAATTTCAAGATAGAAGATTTCGTGAAAGAATATCACGAGGCAAAAGATATCCCTAAAGATCAGAATTTAAAAAGACCTAGGCAATCCAACGAAGAAGAACCTAGAAGTTCTAAAGGAAAAATTAATGTGATCATTGGAGGTTCCAAGCTTTGTCGGGAT